TCCGTCAAGGCGAGACAAAAATGATATATTGGAAATTCATGTTTTTCAAAATGGCCACCAATACTTCAATATCTGAATTCCTCAGATGATAGTCCTTGTCATTTGTGATGAATATACAATGTGTTATCAAATGACTGGACTATAATGGAATTATTTCTGCAGCAATTGAAAGAATCACGGGCTTAACTAATAAAATGAAAATGTCAAAGGGAAAACGGTTACAGAAGACGATGCAGTATTAAGTTGTATTACTCTGTGTAAATGTGGAGTACAATGTCCTTGGATATGATAGACAGAGACAGCTATTTTGAGTTTTGACAAAACATGTAAAACTCATTCATTGTGTGATATTTTTACGTCAACTGAGAACATTTGAGAAGATGATTTCCTTATGACCTTATCACAAATATAACTAATAAAATGAAAATGTCAAAGGGAAAACGGTTACAGAGGACGATGCAGTATTAAGTTGTACTACTCTGTGTAAATGTGGAGTACAATGTCCTTGGATATGATAGACAGACACAGCTATTGTGAGTTTTGATAAAACATGTAAAACTCATTCATTGTGTGATATTTTAACGTCAACTGAGAACATTTGAGAAGATGATTTCCTTATGACCTTATCACAAATATAATAGTCCCAGCTTGCCAGATATATTAAGTAATTAATCAATTCAAGTTCAAACATATTTTATTTGTAGAAGTTCATCTGGGCCATATGTTTTCATATCTACATTTATAACTAGTAATTTTTGTTGCAGATTCTTCAGCAAATTCAAAAGTAAAATTTTCACTGGGGTAAATGTGATATCCGTAACAGCAGTTAGGTATATCCAAAGATGGCGGACGACGTTTCTTGTCAATATTTCTTTTGTCGATTTTGAAATAATGATGTATTATTTCTTCGGTATTTCGTGTCTTTTTGAACTAATTTACTAAATTTTAAACTGAAAAACAATGGGTTTTTTGCATAGTTCAACCGCTAAATGGAGTAATCGGTCGTCAAAAAAAAAAAACGCGATGATATGGTATACTGAAGAAAATACATTGCTGTTGATATACGTAACTACAAATATTGATATCCGTAACAGATTTTATTCCTTTACAATTATACTTCTCGTTTGAAATTAAAAAAGTGTCTCCGGTTAACGAAATCGTTATTAATCGGAATCAGATTTGTTCTTGCAAATCTTTGCAAATATTGTGTGAAAATATATTTATCAGGCTACCTTTTCTGTATTTCTATAAAACCAAACCAGCACCATGCCTAATTAGCTAAAGGAAGTACTTTAGTTTATTCCAGATGAAATATGGGTGGCAACCAAGACACGCATATCGCTTATAACAAAAAAAGTAAAATAAAAAAATACCAAGGAAATTTAAATACGGAAAGTCTTTTAGCAAATGGGAAAATGTAGTAAAGCTCAAACCCATCAAACGAATTAATAATATCTGACATATTCCTTACTTGGTACAGATATTTCCTTATGTAGAAAATGGTAGATTAAAACTGGTTGTATACCTTGCTACACCTCTCACTTCTATGGCAGTCGCTTAATATTAGTTTACATTATATTGACAACATTGTGTAGACAAAATAAACATACATAATAGGTAAAAATGTAAGAAAAATAGGGTACAGCAGTCATCATTATTTAATAATCTTAATCTCTATAAAACAAATAAAATTCCAAATCAAAATGGCATTAAGACAAAGAAAATGAGAGAAATAAAAAAACAAGAGTACAACATTGACGGTAGCACGATAACACAATTCAGGGATGTATAAGTACCGAGCCACGCCAAAAGAATTTTCCCCAAAAATGGATTAAACTGCAAAGGTTATAAATATACAGAGACAAATAAAAAGAACACTATAACACTTCATTTAGATGGTAAACAACGTCAGTACTTATAATCTATACTACAAGACCATCAATTATTATTTTTGTGAAATTGATACGAAATATATATCAACAAGGTCTTGGTATCTTTTGGTGATTTTTTTCAGAAAAAGGACGAGATGTTCTTTAACATGCTTGGTTCATCAACGTTCTGCTCAAAAACTGGTAATGTTTTCTGAATTCTTAGTAGCAGCTGCAAGGTCTTGGATACCGACTTAGTTTGGAAAAGTATATATTCCATATGCATGTGAAGTTGGTATATTGCTGCTAAGGTTAGGGAATTTATAATTCAAAATCGTCTTGTTTATCATTATGGTAGTGAGATGACCGCTCATGTCAAATTCAAGGTATACATAAGTCTAGAAATGATGCGGAGGAAGTTCTTGAGGATATATTAATGGAGCTCAATCAGAAAAGGTTAGATGTTAATGGAAAAAAAATCATCGATATACTAGTATCTGAATGTGAAATTAAATGATCTGGTTTCATTGATCTTCTTGTTTTAATAAGTGACGGAAGGAACTCCTACTACTCATATGAAAATAAAGGGAGATGTCGGCAAGGGGAGGCGCCCAGTTTTTCACCATTGAAATGCCGACTATATTTGAAAAAGTATACCTATCATTTAACAAATATGTTGTCAAAAAAAAACTCCAGCATACTGATCACATGTTCCTCTGTGTAGCATGTTTTCCCTTTTGTTCACCATGTACAAAATATGCCGTATGGTATCACAAAACAATACATCTATAGCGTATGCTACCATTTAAATAATGAAATGCATTGTGGATTATTTCTTTTAGACGATTTGTCAATTTCATATTTGGAATGGTGGTATACAGGGTTGAAAAGTCAGAAGTTTTGATAGAACTATTTTTTTTGTTATATACATATGCACATTCGTGGCTCTACAACCTGTCGATACCTGTATCTTGGAATTGCACAAGATCATGTTTTTCTCTGACTATTCATGACGTCTTTACACTAAATCCATTGGATGTTGGGTGTGTAGTGATTGTAAATTTAGTCTTATTTGCATGATTTTTTTGTTAGTTGTTATTGGCTTTAATTGGAACTAGCTTTTAGTTACTGCGAGTTCTCTCATGTCTGGACTGTACGAAGTGTCTTTTTGATATAGGGATGTACAAGTAACCTCCCACGTCCACTGCGTTTTTGTAAGATGTATTTTTATTTGAATTCATCTGCTTTTTCAACTGATTTTTATAGGCTGTTCTATTGTTGTACTGTTACATCACTTTTCCAGGTTATTGTGAGGGTTGGGCGCCCGCTAACATCTTTAACCCCGCCTCATTCTGCATGTGCCTGTCCCAATTCAGGAGCCTGTAATTCAATGGTTGTCGTTTGTTGCCGTGTTACATATTTGTTTTTCGTTCATTGTTTTATAAATAAATTAGGCCGTAATTTTTCTCGTTTGAATTGTTTCAAATATGTCATTTCGGGACCTTTCATAGCTGACTATGCGGTATTCGCTTTCCTCATTATTGAAAGTCGGAAATCGAACTATAGTTGTTAATTTCAGTATCTGTGTCATTTTGTCTCTTGTGGAGAGTTGTCTCATTGGCATTTATACCACATCCTTTTTTTATATTTGGTCGATCATTCAAATTATGAACTCGACGTTTTATCAGATACCGATTGTTTTGACACATTTCGACAATGTGTCCAGTTCAACTATTTCTCGATGACCCATGCTCTGGTATAGTCCTTAATGGACACATTGAACCATGGATGTGCTAAAGACCAATTAAAAGCATATAAATATGTAGAACGTTTATCAGATTTCACGATTATCCTTTTGATTGCATTTGGATTGTAAGCGTGTTCAATTGCAAGTTGTTGAATTCGTATTTTTTCTATTGTTGTGATAATATTGTGTGCATACATTTTTCTGATTCCGACAATTTCTAAATCTTTTGACGTATTTATGACAGTTTTATTTCAGAATTTTTTTTCGTCTGATCTATTTAATCGGGGATAATGAATGACACAGAACCAACAAAACTCAACAGTTATGGATACCCTTTTCTAAAAGTTTAAGACAGTTACGGATATCAGTCTTCACAGTTACCCATATCTCCGCATTTTGATTTTGTCCATTTATAGCGTTTGAACTGTAATAAACACCTTAGTACTTCAGATTCAAACTTAGTAATTAGTTAAAAAAGACACGAAAATCTGAAGAATAATACATAATTATTACAAAATTGACGAAAGAACTATTGACCAGAAACATCGTCCATCATCTTTCAATGTACATATTTGCAGTTATGGATATCACATTTACCCCAGTGATTTTGCAGTGAAAGTTAGTTCATGCTTGTTTTTCCTTTTTTCTTTTTGTTGAGGTTCATACTTATGATTAACCCAGTTGTGTATATATGTGTATACACTACTTTTTGTATATTTTAGATTCCTTTTAAAAAAAAAAATTTTCTAGAAGAAATGATGAAAAATTCATACCAAATTTTCTGGTCAGAATCTTAATTTCCTGCCAATTTATGTCTGCTCATTTAAATATTCCTGGTAGAAAGCACAATATTCCTACCAAAAATTCCTGCTAATTTAAATTTTTCGGCTATTTTCTGGACAGATTTTTTTCTACATTCTGGCTAAACTATGAACACTTTCCTAGTAGGAACTCTAACATAGTTCCTGCTAGATTCTTCGCTAATTCTAGGAAGAATATTTCGTAGAGGTAATACTGGAAACAGTAGGGTTAAGTTCTTTTTATTTTGACCTGATTCTACAATATTATTAATTTCATATCCCATCATGCAAGGATGAATCATGTGTGTAAGTTACCAATGGCGAATGTTACATTCATATTAAGGATGATAACATGTCAATATCAAACGAAAGAACCCTGCTCATGCCTCACAAAAAATTTATGTCAAATTCAAACATACAAGAATATAGTGTACCATTTCTTGTTCTGAATCAACTAGTTTTTGCTCCGAAGCAGCAAATACAAATATATAAAAATCTTCTGTTTGCTCATGTTCATAAAACCTTCAATCTACCATACTACAATACAAAATGCTACCAATAGACCATCAAGGTTTTTATACTTACGAGGAATTGTGTCTGTAGGTAAGGTTATATTGGAATTCATCATACTGAATGTTATACAGCTCATATATAATTGGAGGTGAATTATCAACGATGTACGGAGTTGTGTGGCACAAAGTTGTTGCTAAGGGACCTCCATATTTCACCCCATTTATAGCTCTTACTGTTATAAAATACTGGTCATCTGAAATTATAACAGTGCTTAATTAAATATGATGCTATCATTAATTAATCTGTGTTGTCTTCACCTACTCATATTTCATTAATAAACAAACTAAAAACTAACGAAGAAATATTCACCTATCTAATGAAGCAGTCAGTGAACCAAGTTCAACAAAGACATTTACACGACATATAAAGACCGATATTTATTTAATATTTAGAAGGGGGCAACCTATACAGACATGACTCAGAAAAAACTATCCCAAACATTTTTCCCAGAAGTGAACACATATGGCGGATAGTTGTCTTTTTGATAATCATGCCACATCTCCTTTTTTACCATCTGTCAAATCTGTATGATGATGATGTCAACATTGCACATGGCTTTTAGGTAGTAAGAAAAAATGCAGCTTAACCATACAAACACATAACAGAATCGTTATAATTCTGTTTATGGTATTGGTAGCAATCTAACAAGACGAGCACGTTATGTATCAAACAAACACTAAAACAACTCCAGTGTTAGCATGATGCTCCAACACCTAAAATGAATATCTCTGGAAGAAAGAAGAAAAGAAGCAAAACTTACTATGCTCTATAAAATAGAAAACAACAAAGTGGCAATATCAAAGGAAGAACGTCTAATACCACCAAAAAGACTGTCTACAAACATGCATGATAACTGCTTCCAACTACCATCGGCCTCCTGTGATTATCGCAAAAACTCATTCTTCCCAAGAACGATCCGGGATTGGAACGCTCTTCCTCGTGGGTTATATCAGCACCGTCAGTCGAGGCTTTTAGAGCCTCGATGACAAAGCTGAATTAAATTAAAATAATTTGGGGGGAGGTGGTGGTTCTGTATGCGCACCAAACCCATGGCAATAAAATCAGTTTGTTGATTGTGGCCATTATCTGGCAGAAGCAGAAGAAGCAATCAATTTAAAGTGTAAAATCCTGAAAACCTTTAAAAGTTTCTATAATATTTTGATTTAAAAATATCGTGTTTCCATTGAAAATTGTCAAACTCTGTACAAATCTGGAAGCTGTACATTAGTTGCTGGGACTGGACTTGTCAAAGCATTGTGATTCAACTGAGATATGTCAAATCCTGTACAAACCTCGGAGCTGCTCATAAGGTGCTGGGAGTGAACTTATCATATCAATATGTGTCCACAGCGATATATCAAACCTTTGCAGACCTTATAGCTGCTCAGAAATGCTGGGATAGGACTTATCATGGCACTATGCGCCTACTGAGATCTGCCACACTCTATACATACCTGGGAGCTGATCATAAGGTGCTGGAAATGGACTTATCATAGCACTATGTGTCCACTGTGAACTGTCATACAAATGAGAATGTGGATCATGATGTTCGTGGATTGTTTCTTCACAAATTTCAGTTCCAACAGCTATAGTGATAAATAAAATTCCAGTTTCCTTGTCATTAAATCCATCCCAGTTTGCTAAAACATCAAAACATAACCATAATGTATACAAAAACAGTTGAATAATGAGCTTGTGGTCATTGACGAGACAGATGCTATAAGTAATTTGAAAAACAGGAAATTGATTAGCAATGAATCTAAAAATGCATTACACAGTATTACATGCTCCACATGAAGCATGATACCAAGTTTCAGAAAGTTCTGATTTATAGTTCATGATAAACAGACCATGACAATTTCATACATGGCTAATATATGTTGTGAAAGAATATATAAAAGTATTCTGTGAACCAGAATTTGATGACACATCACACAGTATAGTGGTATAAATAAATTTTTAAGGAAGATACGAAATGTATTTCCTAAAAAAAATGCAAAAGAAATTTCAATGGTAAAACAGAACACCCTCTACTTTTGAGCTTATCATTAAACTCTTCAAAATAAAATTGTAATAGTATAGAGCCCTGAGTCTCTACTCTGCTTTCTTCTGCCAGTGTAAAAGTGTAATGTTGACTATAAAAAGTGAGTATTTTTTTAAGGTGCTTTTTCTTGATCTTGAAGTTTAGCTTTTGTCCAAGTTTCATCACATTCCATGAAGATTTACAAATTTAAAGTGTAAACAAATTTCAATCCCAGACTGTCTGTAAAAACCAAGTCCATCAATCAGAAAGATACTGAAAATGAAAATAAACCCAAAAGTTTGCCTCAGATATTATCTCTTCATTATTAAAATACTTCTGATAAAGTTTCATACAATTCTATATAGGTTGCACTTTGTAAATACAGCTGTTTCTCAAACCATGCCTCTTTTGGGGAGATATAGAATATTCAAAGATAATTAATTTTGTTTACGTACTGGTTCCCAGTTATGATCTTTATGTTTTATCTCATAGAGACATAACTTGGGAATGTTACCAGTAAATATATAAATATGAATTTATACATAAGACTGGTATCTGCATACATACACCTATTGCAAATATGGCTTTGTTTTAACACTACTAGTTCATATATTATCTTAATTATGTCAGATATATGGTTAGAGATGATACTGTTGTGATAAAAATTCTAAACTGACCATTTAAGGCAGAAATTGTGAATTTTCATTGACAAATAGGCATACAGTAAGATGTGGACTGGAGACAGAGGCATGATTTGATACTTTATATAATCTTGAATGTTGGATTGATTGACTGCTAAACATTACATTTACAGTAATCTGAAATGCTTTCAATTTGTTATCAGAACAGTTTTAAACAGGTTCTAGGCATTTCATGTCAGAAAACATGCAAAAATGGTTAGCTGGCAATAATTAAAGTCTTGTTTTCAAATTCCTTAAAAAACTAAAACAGGGGAGGGGGTATAAAATGTACAGTAAAAGAAAACTTAGAGTATATGCAGTGATTTCTTTAAGGCTATAATTCTGATAAATAAGTATTAATGTGAGAAAAAGTGTTTTTAGAGAGTTTTTTATTTGAATAAATGTTTGTATAGGTTGCACTTTGTAAATGCAGCTGTTTCTCAAACCACGCCTCTTTTGGGGAGATATATAATATTCATAGATAATTAATTTTGTTTACGTACTGGTTCCCAGTTATGATCTTTATGTTTTATCTCATAGAGACATAACCTGGGAATGGTACCAGTAAATATACATATGCATATTGTTTATATTGAAATCTGTGGTAATCCTACAGTCAAGGTAGTGGAAGTTCAGAAATTTAGTGTTAGTTTAAACTCTTAGAAGTTCGGGGCATATAAACGTTGAAAATATGCCGCACAGCCCTATATTTTGACCTTTGAAAAAAATAGTAGTGCATATGAACTTTCCATTCTAGTATAAAAAAAAAATTTCAAAACTTCATAGTAAAAGTGGTACAGTTTTAACTGTAAAAGGAGTTCCTATGGGAAATTGCATTGTCGATATTTACAGAAATGCAACCTAAAGGTTTGACAAATAAATTAATGTTTAAAAAAAATCTTTAACCCAAATCTATACTTGCTTGCCAACTGTTTTATCAGTAAAATATCAAAAAATGAAAATGAATATTTCAAAATTTGGTTCTGGATACTGTCTTTTGGTGATAAAAAAAAGCTTCTGTCTAAATTTCATAAAATCAAATGAAGGTTTGACAAAGTTATTGATGACTAAAAAATTTAACCTTAGATCGAGACTGAATGTGAACTGTGAAAAGTCCATTTATCAGTAAAATACAGAAAAATGACAATAAAATGTTCCAAATTTTCCCTGGATACCTATCTATTAGTCATAAAAAAAGCTTCAATTTTTTTTTATTAATTCCATGAAAGTTTGACAAAATCATTGTCGAGTTTGTTTTTTTAAACCATCATTGAACCTTAAGTTGGACGATGCTGATGACGACCAGCCTAAGACAGAATCTATGATCGCTATGTCTCGCTTTTGCTTCATAAATGATGCATAACAAAGCATTTTTGACTTTCATATCACCTAAGATTATTTAAAAGTAAAACTTCTTACCCTTATAAAATATGCGGAAAGATATTCCTCTAATATAATAATTCATCAACTGATTGTGACAAGGATTGACCCAGGTCAACTGGGTCAACTTGAAAATATTAAAAAAAAAATATAAAGTCAATTAATTAAGGACAATAACCCTAATGAAGAGTCAATTGGCTACTTCCGTCACTTCATTTTTTGGTCTTGCTTATCAATTTTTTTTGTTTACAGTATCTCACTTTCTATATATCGTAGATTCAAGTATATTGCAAAAACACTAAAATTGGTAAAAAATTGTCATTTAGAGACAGTAACTCTTATAAGAAGTTAACCAACAGTAACTATCTGAGGATTTCGTGTTGACTTACTCGAAAGTCTTGTTCACCTTATCTTCATAGTATAGTTTTTTTAAATACTTGGCAAAAACTGCAAAATTTGGTAAATACATTTTTCTAATTCTTACACGATTTATCATTTTCCTGACCGGTTGACTTATTTTATTTAATCAACGTGTGTTTATTTTGATCTCAGTTCTTCATTGGTCGAAATTTGATTATGACGTCAAATTGTATTGCTTTCCTCAGAATTTCCTATGTGACGTCATGAGAAAAGACGACCATGTCTGATTAAGTAACATAGAAAGATCACACCTTTCTTCGGAGATCATTATAAATGAAGGATTATGATTGTCTGTATATCGTCTAAAAATCATTCAAGAAACAGATTCCAACACCAAATCTCGTTCAATACGATATTTGACCACTCTCGACAGTTAAATTTGAAAAGTTTTCTGTCTCATGTGGATAAACACGGTGTCACACTTGATGCAATAGTAGAATCTATATATATATATATATCGACCTTTTAGTAAAACAACTTCAAAATGGGTTGTTCTATTTTTCAAAACTTTCACAGACTGACAGTAGATCATTTTTATCCTGTGTGTGTTCCCAATTACTTGAGCCATTGACATATAGGGCAAATACTGATTTGTTTTATCCCATTGTTGTTTTCTTATTTGTATCGAAGTTGTACTATTAAAGAAAAAGTGGAACATAAAAACACTATGTCTGTTTGTTGTCACATTGTTTATTATATAACTGATATTTTTTGTGGTCATATTGTTAAATATAATTGATATTTTTTGTTGTCTCATTGTTTATTATATGACTGATACTAATTTTTACCTGAAATATAATTATTTGCTCTTGTATACTTCATATCTTTCATAAATATTGGTCCATTAAAAACTGATAATGATTCTGGTCCATCCTGTATTACTCTGCAAAATAAGGAAAACAAGGATATTTTTCAAACTGTATATATGGCAAAGAAATTATATGTTTACTGCAGCCTGACCGAACCTAAAAGATTTAATTGCCTTTTCACAAAGAGTTTTTGGTCGGTTAACTAGACTATGAATCGAATGAATTGCCTTCCAGAAGATGTCAGATGTAATCCATAAAAAAATTACTGAAAAATTATTTAACTTCACGCTGGATTCTGGTTGAATGCAGCAGTGGCTTAAATGAACACCTTTTCCAGAAAACGTATTGTTCAATCCGGCCTCTGTATATTTTGGAAAGTTGAAAGCAGTGAACACTACCTGCTAGAATGTTATAATCATAGTCTCATAAGGGCACAAACAATTTCTTCACTACCAACAAATGTTATAAACAAACATTATTATCAGGTACCAAACTCCTCAGTGATGAGGAACACGAAAATATTTTAAAGTTGTACAAAATTGTATTTTGGAAACAACGAAACTTGGTGTATAAATCTTATGATTTTCATGTTGATTATTTATATTTCAAAACTTTATAATTAAAATAAGACCACAATAGAAATGAATTGAACACATCTTTCGATCAAACTGGTTTCTGAGTAACTAGCAAACCACAGAATAAACATGTAATGTAATTTAAAAATTGTATCATCTCCATCCAAGTCACAATTTGTAAAAGTAAACCATATTAGGTCAAAGTATGGTCTTCAACACGAAGCCTTGGCTCACACCGAACAGCAAGCTATATAGCTCGTTTATAAACTTTTTGTGATTTTCTTTTTTGTAGAATTCATTGTGATCCTTATCAAGATACAACAGTACACAGTTTTATATATTTTTCAAATACATGTATCACTAAGTGCATCAGACAGAACAATAATATATACCTGTGATTTTTTACTACAGAATTTTCATCTCTACACCACATACGGAAGTCTTGTCTATCAGTTGGTATTATTTTTGCACTGCAATCTACCAGTTCCAAATAATCAATGGTGATGTTGTTTATAGGACCTTAAATAATATATGTTGTAGGATTTTTTTTTACTGAACCTGTTCGTAAAAGTCAGTCGGCTGTGGCATACATATGTCATATTTAAAAACTAAAAGTCAATTGGCCATGTTTTCTGTCATATGTTTAAACTTAAAGTCAATTAGCAATGATATATGTCATATGTTGCAAAATTAAAGCATCATCCAGCCATACTTAGCTTCTGGTAGGTGGACAATTTTTTTATTTCATTTTCAATTTTTTTTTATTTCTATAAGACATTTACATAGAGAAACCATCACAACTTTAAATAAGTTATTTTATCCTAAAATGTTTTAAACACTTTTAACAGAAATGAAACTAAGGGACTGAAAAAACAGACCATACAATAAGGATTGAAATGTAGAGAGTCATCATTTTCATTAATATTTCAATAAAAAAAATATCAGAGGCAGATTTATTTTTCATTTTAAAAATCACCCCTTGTAGCTCATGCAATTCTCAGATAAAAAATGTAAAGGAATTATTTGAATCTGGAATAATTTGAATTCTGGGAAATTGAAAAAAAAATATATATGATGAAAATTTACTACAATTTAGTGGGTTTTACCGATGCGTACATGGCTAAGGTTCAAGTTAATTTCACTGATATTTCAGTATAAACTACCTTAACACCCTCCGATTACCCTCTTTAATTCATTTAGTTTTTCATCAAACATATCTTATCATTTTCCCAGATTTCAAATTTTTCCAGATTCAAATAATTCCTTGTTTGTACTTCTTCTGATGTACTTCTGACAAACAAAGTAATTTAATACACTGATGTCCAGACTAGAATTGATTGAAGTCTTGTGCAGAATTTCAAATCATATTCTCAGGTATCGTGGTAAACAAAACTAGAGGCTCTCAAGAGCCTGTGTCGCTCACATGTATCAACTGTGGTTTTGGAAATCAGGTAAAATAAGGATAAAATCATAATATAGAGTATTAGATACCCTAATAATGATTAAGGTAAATTTTGGTTTAATTCGGCCGAGTAGTTAAATTAAAAGGAGGACATCCCATAGTTACTGCAGACTCTTTATCATTATTAAAATTAGCTTTCAAGTTGTGACAATTTGAAAATTATTTTTTAACGATTTTCCCATAGATTTCTAAAGTTAACCACTATGTTCTATTTTTAGCCATAGCAGCCATGTTGGTTCGATGGCAGGGTCATCGGATCCTTTTCCAATCATGATAGGCTATTAAAAATTGTGGTTAAGTATATTTCTATTTGGCTCAGTAGACTAGGTGGAGAAGATTTTTGTAAGAAATTACAAAAATTTAAGAAAAACAACCGCAGGAATTCTCATTTAAAACACCTGTCTGGGATCTACCACAGGTTCTTATATATGTTTGTTTTTAATGATCACCTGTCTAGGTTTTACCCGAGGTTATTGCATTTTTCACCTGTTTGGGTTCTGCCATAGGTTACAAGGAATAATTTCTTGTCCGGGTTCTACATTATACCACAGGATTTTGCTTGTTTCACCTTTCTAGGTTCTACCATAGGTTTCAAGCATTTTACCTGTCTAGGTTCTACCACAGGTTCTAATAAATGTTTTCAAATGTCCGGGCTCTACCACTGGTTCTTAGAATTGTTTCATTGGTCTTGGTTCTACCACAGGTTTTTGTGAACAAAAAGCATCACATGTCTTAGATCTACCACAGGTGCATAGTTTAGGCAATTAACTTTTAAATTAAAAGTGTAGTGTTTTCGAGTTGTTTAATTTTAATTATCATTATTGTACTAAGCTTTAATGAGTAGCCCCTTCGAAAGCCAAATGATACAATTATTAGTATACTGTTTATGCAATTATGTCTAAGTATTAGTATTTAGATAAAATTCGAAATAGTTATTAAAAAGTAGAATATATAAAGGCAACAGTAATATACCGCTGTATCATAGTATTCATAATGGCAAGCATATGAGTTCCTCTCAAATAGAACACTTCCATTTCTATTCGAATAATCATAAAAAATATAGATAAATGTGGTATGGTACATGAGACTATGGTTTATATGTAAACATCAACTTGCAGACAATTAATTATTAGTAAAATATATAAATTGATTGTATGTTGAAAGTATAAAGGATAACGGTTTTACTACAAGTATCACATACACTTAACATTTTTAAAGATCCATGACAATAAGGGTCAAGATCAGATACATCCTGTCAGACAGACATGTACACCTTACAATTATTCAATACTACAAATATAGTTGACCTATTATTTATGGTAATTGAAAGTCAGACCAAAACAAATAATTCTAATATTGACCAATGAATCATGAAAATGAGGTCAAGGTCAGATGATACCTGCCAGACAGAAAAGACATGTAAGCCTTAAAATTATCACATACATCAAATGTAGCTGACCTATTGCTATTAATATTTGAAAAACAGACCAAACCACAAAAAATAACATTGACCAAGGGACTATGAAAATTAGGTCAAAGTTATATGATACTGGGTAGACAGGTCTGTGCATCTTACAATCATTCTATACACCAAATATAGTTGACATATTACTCATAGTACTTGATAAACAGACCAAATTACAAAAACTTAATATTGACCAATGAGCCATGAAAAGGAGGTAAAGGTAAGATGAAACATGCCAGACTGACAATTACCCTTACAATCATTTCATAAACAATATATAGTTGACCTACTGCTTATAGTACCTGAAAAACAGACCTACTTGTGTAACTTTAACTTTGATCACTGATTCATGAAATGAGGTTTAGGTCAGGTGAATTTTGTCTGACTGACAAGTAGATGTTAAAATGAACCAATATACCAAATATAGTTAATATTCTATTACTCTTAATAAGTGAAATAATCATATGACAAAGAAACTGATTTTTTTCAAGCTGTCGAGAAGCCATGAAAATGAGGTCAAAGACAATGGACATTTAATAGTATAAACAATCTGCATACAAGGAATGAAGCATCAAGGTCTTCTGCCGACTGAAATTCAAAGCTTTATTCAAATAGTTTACATCACCACCATGGAATAGTAATAGTTATCCCTATGTCTTGTATACTATGACTTTCGTCGTAGGCGAGACAGTAAGTACTATAATAAAAATTGGTAGGATCAAATGAGTTACCTAGTATAACTTTTGGATTCAAGCAAACAAATAAAAGGTGCTTTTAGTAACATGCATTCTTTACTATTATTTGTATCATAGGTTAATGTTATTTGCGAATGTTGTATCAAAAACATATACACCATATGAACTCTTTCTAATTTTGTTATTTGAGCTCCTCTTCAAAGATAACTCACCCGTTTCTGGAGGCGTAGTATCCACCATTATTCCAGGGGTAGAAATGATACTCTCAAATCCTAAATTGTTTATGATACGAAAGTTGAAGTAAAGTGATTTATTATGGGTTAGCCATAAAGTATTGTAATCAAAACTCAAGATATGTCCAATACCAAGTCTTTCATAGTGCTGGAACAATCTTGACACTGCAAGCTTGTAGTGATGACCTTGTATTCCTTCTAGCAGCTCACAGGTAGCCTCCTTAAAGTCATAATTGAAGCTCATACATTTGGTTTTTGGCAGATCTGCGCATCGTTTAGCACAATCACCAGGTGTTGCCTCCTTTGTAACCGCCCCTCCAAATGGCGCAATCAGTCGACCTTCTCTGAAGTTTGTGAACATTTCCATAACTTTATGGTTATGTGGGTCATTACCTAAATCAAGATTATTCAAAAAGTGATAAGTTAGTTAATCATAAAAAAACAAGAGGTTGCAAACATTGTCCTACGAAGAATACCTACATTTGATTCAAAGTATCGGCAAATAGGATGTCCGTGTTTGATAAATCTGAAAAATGCTCACACTTGAGAACCCATTACTGCCAAGTAGCTGACCAATTATGAAGTCATTATGTTCAGAAGTACTCAAGAAAAGTGTGACTTATAACTTTAAATTCATTGAAAAATTCCCAAGTTTAAGAAAACAGGAAGAAGATGTCTGACAGGTCTGAAAAGTGCTCAAATATTACAACTCATCACTGTCAAGCTGCTTACCAATTATGAAGTCCTTCGGTAACGTAGTTGCTGAGAAAATATGGAATTATTTGTTTGAAAAACAAATGGACAGACAGATAAAAAAGATGAATGCACTATAGCGCAAACTCCCAGAGTACTCTGATCTTTACTGATTTTCATATGCAAGAACAAACAAGAATATGTCCATAGTACACGGATGCCCCTCTCGCACTTTCATTTTCTATGTTCAGTGGACTGTGAAATTGGGATCAAAAATCTAATTTGGAATTTAAATTAGAAAATCATATTATATGGAACATTTGTTCTAAGTTTCAAGTTAATTAGACTTCAACTAAATTAAAAACTATCAAAAAATCTAATTTGGCATTTAAATTAGAAAGATCATAGTATAGGGAACATGTGTACTAAGTTTCAAGTTGATTTGACTTCAACTTCATCAAAAACTACCTTGACCAAAAACATTAACCTGAAACTTGCATGATGATTTTCTATGTTCAGTGGACCGTGATATTTGGGTCAAAAATCTAATTTGGCATTTAAATTAGAAAGATCATGTCATAGGAGAAATGTATACTGAGTTTCAAGTTGATTGGACTTCCTTTTCATCAAAACTACCTTGACCAAAAACTTTAACATGAAGCGGGACAGACGGACGAACAGACCAGAAAACATAATACCCCTCTACTATCGTAAGTGGGGCATAAAAACATAAATGAACAGAATCCTAATGTCCCCGGGGTGCACATATTTTATATTTCCAAGGGGCATAACTCTTTAAAAAAAGTCGATAATCTTAGATATTGCTGATATTAACCTATAGTATAAGTTTTATAAAAATCTGGCAAGAATAGTACCCGTGAGAGCGCTTAGGCCATTTTCCAAAAAAATTATATTTTCGAGGGGCACAACTATTTTAAAACAGTTGATTGTCCACCATTATAGAACTAGTCAGAGATATTGATGATATTAACCTGTAGTATGAGTTTTAAAAAAATCTGGCAAGAATTGTTCCCGTGAGTGCGCTAACGAGGACATTTTTCATAAATTTAATATTATCAAGAGGCATAACTTTTTGTAAAAAATCGATCGGCCAACATTATAGAATTTTTCCGAGATATTGCTGATATTAACCTATAGTATAAGTTTTATAAAAATCTGGTAATGATTTTACCTGTGAAAGCTCTAACAAGAGCAGACGGACGGACACCAGGTACTTCCATGTCCCCCACAAAGCCTAACACGGGGGACACTAAAGAGCAACATTAAATTACTGCTTGTTTAGAAGAGCATTCAATTTGGTTTTTTTAATAAAAGTGTGGAATTCTAAATGTAAGAGTAACTTAACTATTGTGTATGCAAGGTCTGATTTCTTCATCTGAAAGGTTTTAAACTTTTTTTTCAAATATTGAAAAACCTACGGTATTATTCAACTGCTTGTTTAATGTTGATCATTTATATAAAAAAAATACTATGTCCTTTAAAAAAATTCTACCAAAAGCACAAATATTCGAATGTATTATTGTTATTTTTTTTTATTCTGTAAATTGATCAAACCATCTTTATACATTTAAACATTTTTTTTAAAGTATTATTTTGTTGATCTTACTCAAATTAAAGAACCAGAATTTTTTGAAGCAACCTCTGGCAATCCACTTTAACTTACTTTCAAGAAGCTGTAATGCAGACAGATTTAAGTATGTAAGATTTATCCAGATTTTAGGTTTGGTATCTTGCTAACCACGGAAGCAGTACAAGCTCATGCTGGTACTACTTTCTCTGGAAAAAGTTTACTATCAGACAGGGAATCAGTATAAAAGAAACGACAGTATACAAGTCAGTCTATAAGTATTTTCCTATCTAAATGAAACATCTTATTGATTTGAATTTCTTGCAAGCTGAAAAATGCAATAATCATTATATTATCAGTGGTTGAGCTGAATTCGAAGGCAAACGCTGTGAGTATTAATACATGATCATCATATCTCTTTTCGATATCAAACTCAAATACTTACTTAGATCTGGTGGTACAAAGGCATCAGCATTTACATTGACAGTGTTCCATGGAATTACTTGATCCCCCCACACATCTTTTCCATATCCCAATCCGACTTGTGTCAACACTATATCAGAGTCTTCGTATACAACAACAGATGCTCTCATCACTGCTGGATTACTGGTTGATAAAAAGTCTTCAGTGAATCGACCACCAGGAAGAGTTACATCATATGTAAGTAAAGAACAAGTTGCCATAGAGCGCGCACCAGCATCGTTTTGTGCATACATTGTAAAATACAGAGGAACTCCAGTGGTACTTAGTCTCTGATAAAAAAAAATACTTAATATTAATGAGGGTCTTCATATTTGTATTCTTTTTTAATGCCATTTTTCCGTATTTTTGTTTGTTTTTGTTTTGTCAATTCACTATTTTTCATAGTCTTAAAAAACCCTACTTTTCTGTATTCTTTATTTTTTGTCCATTTTCCTTTTTCTTTTTGTATTACCAAATATTTTCTATTCTGTGAAACTAATCTAGACTCTCATGCATTGAAAAGAATATCATTGTCAATTGGACTAAGGTGAACATAGAAGTACCGCTTGCCAAAATGTTATACATTGTCTCTTGGCTATAGTCTGTGACTAATCATGATCCTTTGATTTACCTTTAAAGCGGTTCAACTCTTGGTTATTTATTGGTGATGATGATGCTTAAAATCAAACTATCTTAAACCTGAAGTTTATTAATACTCTACCTAATTAACATTAAGATGTATTTACTGCTTTATTTGTCATGTTTCAATAACATTAAGCATGTATTGCCCATTAACCACTAGCTAGTAATTGAGTTCACATAGTTGTTTTGACATATTTTTTGTATATGTCACCTCCACATGATTAGATGCCTGTCCCAAGCCAGGAACGTTGTCATTGTAGTTGGTTCTTATCGTAATGTTTTAGGCATTAAGGGAATTTTTCGTTGAAGGCATAAATTAGATAGTCTATGTTAAATTCATTAAAAACATATTTCATTACTTGGGACGCTCATTTTAGAGCTTGTCATTTTGTATTTACATCTGTTTATTGTTACAGTGTGTTGACATCTAGAAGTTTTTTTGTTTTTTTGTTTTAATGTTGATAAGTTGTCTCATTGACATATATCAAACTTCTACTATTCATATTGCTAAGATCAAGGGTGCCAGTTGCTAAATTTCACATTTGACACATGTTATAACTACATTATTTTTTTCAATTGATGATGTATTTGAGTACACATACATAAATTATTTTTAAAAAAATAAGGATATGTATGTATGTGTGTTTGCTTTTGAGATAGATGCATTTAAAAAACTATAAATTTTGGTTGGAAAAAGGTGTCTATGAGTTTTTCATAATGATGGAGTGTGTGGTAAAACATTTGTATATTAAATTGTTCGAAAAAAATATCATAAAAATCACAAATTTCAAATTTTTTACCAGGTGTATATCATATGCTTGTTTTAAAAAAATGTAAAGAAATAAACTGGATGTCAAGTTAGTTCAATATTCAACATTCAATTTTTTTTTTTTAATTTTAAGTATTTATTTTCAACATGAAACATTCGATTTTAACATTTAAGTGTTTACCATGTTAACCGTGTGAAAACATTGTAGTGAAGATAAAAAGGTATGTTATTTAAGAGGTAAATGAAAGTGAGTAGAATTCAAATGATAATACAATAAGAAAAGTATGACAAACTTAGGATGACGAAAATAAAGTAGCAATTAAACAAATTAAAGTCGTTAAGACAAGAAAATCAATAAAATCTTGCAAGAATGTAAAATTCTTTCTCAGTAATGAATCATTTTTAATCAAATAATTTTTTTTCAGCATTCATTTTTAATATTAAACATTCGATTTCAACATTCAAAATTATTTTTTTGTATAACTTTTTTTTCTTTTCTTTTTTCCAAACATTCGTTTTCAACATTGGATTTTCAAATTTTTTAATTTTTTTTTCCCATTTTTTTTTACACTCGTTTACAGCATTCAACTTTCAATTTTTTTTTTTCATTCTATTGTTGTTTTTTCAACATTTAACATTCGATTTTCAACAGTCAACTTTTCGATTTTTTTTCAAAGGTCAACAATCATTTCAACATTCAACATTCGTTTACATTCGATTTTCAACATTTAACATTCGTTTTCAACTTTCAAAATTCAATTTAATTATTTTTTTCAAAAAAAAACATGTTGTATATTGAAAATCGAATGTTGAAAACGAATGTTGAATGTTGAAAATCGAATGTCAAAAACGAATGCTGAATGTTGAAAACAGATGTTAAATGTTAAAAACCAATATTGAATTTTGAAAATCGAAAGTTGAATGTTGAAAATCGAATGTTGAAAACGAATGTTGCAAACGAATGTTGAATGTTGAAAAACGAATATTGAATGTTTAAGAACGAATGTTGAAAACGAATGTTGAACACGAATGTTGAATGTTAAAAAAAAATTCAAAATTCAAATAAACAATTTTAATGTTGAAAGTTGAAATCGATTGAAGAATGTTGAAAGTGAATGCTGAAATTTTTTTTTTAAAAAATTGACTCTTGAATGTTGAATATTGAACCAACTTGACATCCGTAGAAAAAAAGAGTTAATGGACAATTTTTTTAATGCAGAGCGTATGAAAAGTCCACCTTGGTATATATATGTATATATGTACAACTTGATAAGCAAACATCCTAAACAAGAGAAAGGTGTAAAACTTTAAAGCAAATATAATCTTATGAAAACATTTTAAGAAAATGTTATCCTTTGAAAACAAGTTCTTATCATTATAAGGACTAGCCTCATCCATTGATGTTTTTGGTCCACCAAGAGTATGCTGGTCCATTACATCTTTTCCTCCCGGTACTGTTCCAATATCAAGGAAGTAAGCCACGTCACTTCTGTCGTCCTCAGCACGAACAGCGATTTCAAACATTGGCTCTACATAGTCTCTACCTGCTATTTGTTCTACTTCACAACTTGCCGTGGACTAGATAGGTAAAAAGTAAAATCTTACTAATAAGTTCAGTTCAATCATTGAAGACTTTATTGTGAAGTTCAAAATGTATAACAGAATGTATTGCTCATTTAAATTTCATGTTTTCTTTTGGGTCATGTCGTCTTTATCTCAAATTTTCAATTCTTGCTTAAATGGTTATGAGAGAAGAATAATAGTGTTTCCTACAGGATCTGTTTGATTGGAATGGCGCCCTGTAGTGTTTTCTTGACGCACTGCCCTTAATAGGAAAAATTTTCTTTTATCAAAAATAAAAGGGTAGTTCGCCCAAAGCTTTCTATATTTAAGTACAAATAACATGCCAAAAATTGGCAATTGATGATAAAATTTCTAAAAACACATAATTAGTTTCATGATATGTCTTCAACTTAGAATTCTGCACCATCTCAAAATCCAGAGTGATCACATTGATCCAGCATGGCTAAATCAAAAACAAGTTGAACCTTGAGCTATTGTTACTGATTATACCACCTTAATAGGTGTTATACCACCATTGATTTTTCCCTATTAGTCATTGTTAAATTGGCAATTTCCAAAAAAATTTCAGAATTTTTCTCTGTTTAAAAAAAGAAATACTTGTCATGTGTAAACTTTTATCCTGTCCAGGACTATAGAAAAAAATTCACATAACGTTTCATTACATATAAGAAAATAACCATCGCTGGAATTAACCTTTCAAATTTTCACCTCTTTTTACCTGTGTACAAGCTTTAATAACCATGTAATCAAGTTTCATAAATACTCTATAGAAACCCCAAATAAAAAAATAATGGTGCTTTGAAATACCCAAGATATATGTTTATGACCCAGGAATGTTTTCCTGCAATGAGAGGTAGGATTAATTACCTACAACTGTCAAATTCAAGGGAATATTTTATTTGTTTCCTATTTTTGTATGCAACCGGATATGACGTACCATGATTTGGTGGTATAACACCTTTTAAGAATATGGTTCAGATGTAGTTAATGAATGATGGATATCAAAATGCAATACACGGTATAATAAGCTCATATAAAGCTAGGTTGATTCAAAATTTCAGAAAGCCTTGAACTGATTATACACATGGCCACTATGTGAGTAAACTTCAGAAAGCCTTGAACTGATTTTATACATGGCCAATATGTGAGTGAATATTATTAGTTACACAGTGTGCTAGTGACCTAATACACTTGCACACTTGGTAATGCATATCTCCTACCAACTATCTAAATATGAGGCATTTAGACTAGTGGTATATCAAAGTGATCAAGTCTTCAATATAAAGAACCTACTTTCATTGGTCTATACAAAAATAAATGCCGACACTAACAGTCTGTAAGCTTTTAATGTGTTTTCTGCATTTATTTCAATTGTTCATCATCAATTTCTTCATATGTTGTCAAGGGAAAACTTTTTCTTCAATGCCATGCTGTTTTTATAAAGGGACGTAACACCGTAACGAAATGTGTATCTAAATTAACCATGCCTACGAACCGCATATGAAATATATACAGTCTCCACACGGATGTTTTTAACCAATAATATATACTTAGAAATGTATAGGAGGTAAGATAAATATTAAGTATATTGTAAACTGGAACTGAATGAGTGTTTTACTTAAATATGCATCACGCAGTATTGCATGCACACATTTGGTTGGTATCAAATTTAAGTTCCTGAAAAAAATGTGAAAAAACTTCGAGATGGAAACATGAAGAAATTAAGCAATATAAGAAGGAAGGGAATGTAATGAACATTAATGATCTGTTTCAATATTTAGAACATTTCCCACAAGTCAGTCCAAAGCTTACTGCAAAACCATCATACAAATGATCATTACCCTTTTTTTTCTTCTTGTATCAGGTTCATCAGTAAAAGGTGAAATAGATGGAGGAGTTTTGTCTTCTTCATCTTTTCTGTTGTCAATCAATTTCTTAGTAATCGTTGGTGCCTTGTATGACCATAGTTTAGCTTTAAACAAAGTTTTCTTAAAACTAATAGGACCAAGTTTGACCTCTAAGGTCACCAGAGCATACAAGTTCAGCTCAATTGGAGTCAGTTTCAAGTACATAACCAGACTGTAAAATAAATATATGAATAAAAAAAGATAAAATTATGACAATAGATCAAATCAAGGCATTAACTTATGAGGCACCAAAAACATCTACTAAACACTTCCCATGTTTAACATTATTCATGAACATCAAAAATTCATTATAACTTAAAGAATCAAAGAATCTTAAAAAAAACCATAATATTTTGTATTTGCGCCAGACTCGCGTTTCGGCTACAAAAGACTCATCAGTGACGCTCAAATAAGTTCAAAAGGCCAAATAAAGAACGAAGTTGAAGAGCATTGAGGACCAAAAAATTCCTAAAAGATTACCCAACATCTAGAGAAAACAATTAAAATGTGTTCTGCTACTTACCCAACATCTAGAGGGAACAATTCGAATGTATTCTGCTATTTACCCAACATCTAGAGAAAACAATTAAAATGTATTCTGCTACTTACCCAACATCTAGAGGGAACAATATGAATGTATTCTGCTATTTACCCACCATCTAAAAAGAACAATTATAATTTATTCTGCTACTTACCCAATATCTAGAGAGAACAATTATAATTTATTCTGCTACCTACCCAACATCTAGAGAGAACAATTTGAATGTATTCTGCTACTTACCCAGTATCTAGAGAACACTTTGATTGAATGGAATCTGCCAACTATCAAACATCTAGAGAGAACCATTTGAATGTATTCTGCTACTTACCCAACATCCAGAGGGAACAATGAAATGTGTTCTGCTACTTACCCAACATCTAGAAAGAACAATTCGAATGTATTCTGCTACCTACCCAACATCTAGAGAACACTTTGAATATATTCTGCTACATACCCAACATCTACAGGGAAAAATATGAATGTATTCTGCTATTTATCCACCATCCAGAGAGAACAATTAAAATGTGTTCTGCACCTACCCAACATCTAGAGAACACTTTGAATGTATTCTGCTACTTACCCAATATCTAGAGAGAACAATTACCCAACATCTAGAGAAAACAATAAAAATGTGTTCTGCTACTATCCCAACATCTAGTAAGAACAATTCGAATGTATTCTGCTACCTACCCAACATCTAGAGAACACTTTGAATATATTCTGCTACATACCCAACATCTACAGGGAAAAATATGAATGTATTCTGCAATTTATCCACCACCCAGAGAGAACAATTAAAATGTGTTCTGCACCTACCCAACATCTAGAGAACACTTTGAATGTATTCTGCTACTTACCCAATATCTAGAGAGAACAATTAGAATTTATTCTGCTATTTACCCAATATCTAGAGAGAACAATTAGAATGTATTCTGCTACTTACCCAACATCTAGAGAGAACAATTAGAATGTGTTCTGCTATTTACCCAATGTCTAGAGAGAACAATTTGAATGTATTCTGCTACTTACTTAACATCTAGAGAGAACAATTTGAATGTATTCTGCTACTTACCCGACAACTAGAGAACACTTTGAATGGAATCTGCCAATTTTCAAACATCTAGAAAGAACAATTTGAATGTATTCTGCTACTTACCAAACATCTAGAGGGAACAATTTGAACGGAATCTGCCACTTACTCAACATCTAGATGGAATTTATCGAATGGAATCTGCCAATTATCAAACATCTAGACGGAACTTATTGAATGTTATATGCCAATTATCAAACAACTAGATGAAACTTACGGAATGGAATCTGCCAATTATCAAACATCTAGACGGAACTTATTGAATGTAATCTGCCAATTATCAAATATCTAGACGGAACTTATTGAATGTAATCTGCCAATTATCAAACATCTAGACCGAACTTATTGAATGTAATCTGCCACTTACCCAACATCTAAAGGGAACTTATTGAATGTAATCTGCCAATTATCCAACACTTTCCATGTTTAACATTATTCATGAACATCAAAAATTCATTATAGCTTAAAGAATCTTAAAAAAAAACATAATATTTTGTATTTGCGCCAGATTCGCGTTTCGTCTACAAAAGACTCATCAGTGACGCTCAAAATGACAAATAAGTTCAAAAGGCCAAATAAAGCACGAAGTTGAAGAGCATTGAGGACCAAAATTTCCTAAAAGATTACCCAACATCTAGAGAAAACAATTAAAATGTGTTCTGCTACTTACCCAACATCTAGAAAGAACAATTCGAATGTATTCTGCCATTTACCCAACATCTAAAGAAAACAATTAAAATGTGTTCTGCTACTTACCCAACATTTAGAAAGAACAATTCAAATGTATTCTGCTACCTACCCAACATCTAGAGAACACTTTGAATGTATTCTGCTACTTACCAAACATCTAGAGGGAACAATATAAATGTATTCTGCTATTTACCCACCATCTAAAGAGAACAATTAAAATGTGTTCTGCTACCTACCCAACATATAGAATACACTATGAATGTATTCTGCTACTTACCCAATATTTAGACTTAACAATTAGAATTTATTATGCTACTTACCCAATATCTAGAGAGAACAATTAGAATGCATTCTGCTACTTACCCAATATCTAGAGAGAACAATTATAATTAATTCTGCTACTTACCCAACATCTAGAGATAACAATTTGAATGTATTCTGCTACTTACCCAGCATCTAGAGAACACTTTGAATGGAATCTGCCAATTATCCAACATCTAGAAAAAACAATTCGAATGTATTCTGCTATTTACCCAACATCTAGAGGGAACAATTAAAATGTGTTCTGCTACTTACCCAACATCTAGAAAGAACAATTCGAATGTATTCTGTTACCTACCCAACATCTAGAGAACACTTTGAATGTATTCTGCTACTTACCCAACATCTAGAGGGAACAATATGAATGTATTCTTCTATTTACCCACCATCTAAAGAGAACAATTAAAATGTGTTCTGCTACCTACCCAACATCTAGAGAACAATTAGAATTTATTCTGCTACTTACCCAATATCTAGAGAGAACAATTAGAATGTATTCTGCTATTTACCCAATATCTAGAGAGAACAATTTGAATGTATTCTGCTACTTACCCAGCATCTAGAGAACATTTTGAATGGAATCTGCCAATTATCAAACATCTAGAGAGAACTTGAATGTATTCTGATACTTACCCAACATCTAGAGGGAACAATTAAAATATGTTCTGCTACTTACCCAACATCTAGAAAGAACAATTCGAATGTATTCTGCTATTTACCCAACATCTAGAGAAAACAATAAAAATGTGTTCTGCTACTAACCCAACATCTAGAAAGAACAATTCGAATGTATTCTTCTGCCTACCCAACATCTAGAGAACACTTTGAATGTATTCTGCTACATACCAAACATCTACAGGGAACAATATGAATGTATTTTGCTATTTATCCACCATCCAGAGAGAACAATTAAAATGTATTCTGCACCTACCCAACATCTAGAGAACACTTTGAATGTAATCTGCTATTTACCCAATATCTAGAGAGTACAATTAGAATTTATTCTGCTACTTACCCAACATCTAGAGAGAACAATTTGAATGTTTTCTGCTACTTACCCAACATCTAGAGGGAACAATATGAATGTATTCTTCTATTTACCCACCATCTAAAGAGAACAATTAAAATGTGTTCTGCTACCTACCCAACATCTAGAGAACAATTAGAATTTATTCTGCTACTTACCCAATATCTAGAGAGAACAATAAGAATGTATTCTGCTATTTACCCAATATCTAGAGAGAACAATTTGAATGTATTCTGCTACTTACCCAGCATCTAGAGAACATTTTGAATGGAATCTGCCAATTATCAAACATCTAGAGAGAACTTGAATGTATTCTGCTACTTACCCAACATCTAGAGGGAACAATTAAAATATGTTCTGCTACTTACCCAACATCTAGAAAGAACAATTCGAATGTATTCTGCTATTTACCCAACATCTAGAGAAAACAATAAAAATGTGTTCTGCTACTAACCCAACATCTAGAAAGAACAATTCGAATGTATTCTTCTGCCTACCCAACATCTAGAGAACACTTTGAATGTATTCTGCTACATACCAAACATCTACAGGGAACAATATGAATGAATTTTGCTATTTATCCACCATCCAGAGAGAACAATTAAAATGTATTCTGCACCTACCCAACATCTAGAGAACACTTTGAATGTAATCTGCTATTTACCCAATATCTAGAGAGTACAATTAGAATTTATTCTGCTACTTACCCAACATCTAGAGAGAACAATTTGAATGTTTTCTGCTACTTACCCAACATCTAGAGGGAACAATATGAATGTATTCTTCTATTTACCCACCATCTAAAGAGAACAATTAAAATGTGTTCTGCTACCTACCCAACATCTAGAGAACAATTAGAATTTATTCTGCTACTTACCCAATATCTAGAGAGAACAATAAGAATGTATTCTGCTATTTACCCAATATCTAGAGAGAACAATTTGAATGTATTCTGCTACTTACCCAGCATCTAGAGAACATTTTGAATGGAATCTGCCAATTATCAAACATCTAGAGAGAACTTGAATGTATTCTGCTACTTACCCAACATCTAGAGGGAACAATTAAAATATGTTCTGCTACTTACCCAACATCTAGAAAGAACAATTCGAATGTATTCTGCTATTTACCCAACATCTAGAGAAAACAATAAAAATGTGTTCTGCTACTAACCCAACATCTAGAAAGAACAATTCGAATGTATTCTTCTGCCTACCCAACATCTAGAGAACACTTTGAATGTATTCTGCTACATACCAAACATCTACAGGGAACAATATGAATGTATTTTGCTATTTATCCACCATCCAGAGAGAACAATTAAAATGTATTCTGCACCTACCCAACATTTAGAGAACACTTTGAATGTAATCTGCTATTTACCCAATATCTAGAGAGTACAATTAGAATTTATTCTGCTACTTACCCAACATCTAGAGAGAACAATTAAAATGTGTTCTGCTACTTACCCAACATCTAGAAAGAACAATTCGAATGTATTCTGCTATTTACCCAACATCTAGAGAAAACAATAAAAATGTGTTCTGCTACTTTCCCAACATCTAGAGAACACTTTGAATGGAATCTGCCAATTATCAAACATCTAGAGAGAACAATTTGAATGTATTCTGCTACTTACCCAACATCTAGAGGGAACAATTTGAACGGAATCTGCCACTTACCCAACATCTAGATTGAACTTATCGAATGGAATCTGCCAATTATTAAACATCTAGACGGAACTTATTGAATGTAATATGCCAATTATCAAACAACTAGACGGAACTTACGGAATGGAATCTGCCAATAATCAAACATCTAGACGGAACTTATTGAATGTAATCTGCTAATTATCAAACAACTAGACGGAACTTATTAAACGGAATCTGCCAATTATCAAACATCTAGACGGAATTTATTGAATGTAATCTGCCACTTACCCAACATCTAAAGGGAACTTATTGAATGTAATCTGCCAATTACCCAACATGATGAGGTAACTTATTGAATGGAATCTGCCAATTGTCAAAAATCTAGACGGAACTTATTGAATGTAATCTGCCACTTACCCAACATCTAAAGGGAACTTATTGAATGTAATCTGCCAATTACCCAACATGATGAGGTAACTTATTGAATGGAATTTGCCAATTGTCAAACATCTAGAGGTTGCATTTCTGTAAATATAGACAATGCAATTTCCCATAGGAAATCCCTTTGCGGCTAAAACTGTGCCACTTTTAGTATGAGATAAAACATAAGAGATCATATCCGGGAACCAGTACGTATACAAATTAAATTGTCTATTAATATTATATATCTCCCAAAAAGAGGCGTGGTTTGAGAAACAGCTATATTTACAAAGTGCAACCTAGAAAGAACTTATTTAATGGAATCTGCCAATTATCAAACATCTAGAGGGTCCTCATTGAATATAATCTGCCACTTACCCAACATCTAGAGGGAACCTGTTGAATGTAATCTGCCACTTACCAAACATCTAGTAAGAACATATTGATTGTAGTATGATACTTACCTTATACCTAAGAGAACATATTGAATGTAATTTGCCACTTACCAAACACCTAGAGGGAAATTATTGAATGAAATCTTCCACTTACCCAACATCTAGAGGAAACTTATTGAATGAAATCTCAGCTGTTGTTGGGAAGCGCAGGTCCATAATTCTTCCTTCTAAACGGAGTTTTCCATACAGTAAAAAACCAATACCAAGTTCACCATAGACTGTCACACCCCCATACGGTTCTACCCCACATATAGCTTTCATTTCTAACACCTTGGCACCAATCTCAAACTTCATTCCATAGTATGCACCAGCTCCAAATGCTGAAATTGATAAAACATCTATCATAGTTAATTCTTAAAATTGAAATAACACCCCATTATATTGGGCATGTCAAGTCTTTCCACAAATGCACATCTGATTCAAATAATACACGGAACTGCAGTAAAGAAATGAAAATTGAAATAAAAAATCAAATATGGGTAGCTTGTTTCATATACACATATGGTTTTAAACATGATGAAGTTTCTGGTAAAGTTAAAGTTGGCCTAGTTGTTCTTCAATAATATGTTAAGAAAACTATACCTGGCCATATAGTCCCTGTATACCATATATAATAGAGTGGACAAACTAAAGTGAAGAACAAGTAATTAAATGTAACTTTGTAATTCCGCCCTTTTAAGCAACATTCTTTCCAAAATTAATCAACACAGGTCAAATCTGTTACAGTCAAACTTGTATTAAGCAGTCACTCGTGGGAAGTATCAAATTAAATGTGACTGCTTAAGAGAGGCGACATTTGAATCATTAACAAAATTGTGGTTCCTTCATCGTTTGTGGCCAGGATCAGTCAAATTGTTTTAGTGTTTTCAACTGTTATCTTTATTGCATTGAAATAAAAACAAAATAATAGAGGATCCCGGCACTGTAAATTTGAATAAAAAAAATAAAATATGTTAATATTTCTTCAAAGAAATAAGTCATTGATACTTATTTCAGTGGAACAAGGCGAATTCAAAATTCACCTTCTATTGTGCGATCGCGGTTGCAAACAGCTTTTAATTCTCATTTTGACTCTTCGATATTTACAGCCTGTTTTGTTTTGTCACGAAGATTTTTGGTATTTAAAAACTTAAGTATGATCGTTGTTAAAAGTTGAAATGCAGATTTCGTTCGAAAATAAGGTGAACTCTGACCGCGTTATACAGGGACCGCTGAAAAGATTAAAATTATAGAGAAAATGTTTGGGAGGGTATTAAAGGGACCATGAGAGGCAGATAACCACTGAAACGGGATAGATATAAAGGGGAATAACTCTAGCCAGTAAGTGACTTTTTATTAGTTAAAAACAAGGTCAAACAGAAAATGAGTTACATGAGAACTATAAATTCCCTTTATTCTTAATAGTCCTTGTAAAGTGTTATCTTTTTCAATAAATTGTTTAATCATGATCACATCAATTACTTTAAATTTAATTAATTGATATCAAGGATATTTAGTAAGAAATAGGCTTATAAACAACAAAATAGTAAAGTTGGACTGTTATACAAATTGTACATAATGACTGTAACATACCAAATTGACATGTGACTTATAACTTACAGAACTGCATTGGAATTATTCCACCAACCATCATGTTAATACTGTAGCTAAACAGTTCTACATCCTGTTTAGGGAAACTAAAGTCTCCCTTTAGTGTGAAGTCAAAAGATTTAAACACTTCTTCTCCATTGTTAAGAAGCTTGGTAAGGAACTCAGATAACTGAAATTATGAAATTGATTAAAACGAAAATGAATTTCAAAGATGTTATTTATTATTGTAATGTGACATTTTCTTTACCATTATAAAACCCTCACTATGTACAATCCGTGTAACGTAAAAGTTAACAATACGAACGATGCCCAATCATGTACGGACGATGCCCGAACGATGTACGTATGTACTTACGTGTGTTCTGTTAAATCTTTTTATATAGGTGATCATATGCGTAACATTTAGATTGGGTGCATATTTCAGTTTTTAATTAATCATTTAATAAATTATAATTTGTTCTGACTCCATGTTGATCCAAAATTATTTACATTAAAAGTTTGAAAAATAAACACGGAAATAAAATTTAAACAAATTAAAAGATACGATTATGAATTTTGTTAGCCGTGGAAATACGTACTTGGGTAATGTGCGAGTAAACTGCAGTCTGAAGGGTTTTCAGTCAACATTTTTTGAAAATAGCCGAAGGTATTAACATTCTTTTGACCTAAATGAACAATTTATTTCAGATGGGATTCGGAATTAATCTAATGTTCTTACAAAAGTATATTCGGGGTCTTAAGATTTGCCTTTTGTTCAAAAGGTTTTGTTAATTATTTTTATATATTCTTTTTTATCACATATATTTAAATATCGACTGAATAACAGTTTAATCTATATATCGTTATTAAACAATTTTTTTTAGATTATAGATATATTTTGTATTCATCTATCAAATAAGTTTGGGATATACAAGTACGCAACCAACTATAAATCAATCCAATCTAATAATTGTTTTTTTTTTATCCCGCATTTTTTTATATTAAACTATTTTAACTCAAAATAATAATTGAAATAACTTTCTGAATCTGAAATAAAACCCTAACATATATCATACGCTTTACAAAACGATATACTACACGATAGATGAAACGTTAAACGATATCATATCCCATACGATAAACGAACGCTAAATGCTTAACGCTAAACCATACCATGTACCATACGACAAATCAAACGCTTAACGATACCATGATCCATACGATACACAAAACTCTAAACGATGACATTTACAATACGATGAACGATGAACGAACGCTGACCGAACGTTGTACGAACGCTATACGAATGATGTACGAACGATGACCGAACTCTATACGAACGATTCCCGCACGCTGTACGTACAATTCCCGAACGAAAAAAGTGTTAACTTCTACGTTAAAGGGACTGTAGTCGGCTATAGAAGGCCACTGTGTGAAAAATATGATTTTTTTCAACAGAGAAAACTAATTTATAACAGAGTAATTTAATAAAAACAAATATGAAAAACATGATTCGTATGTCTTTTTTGTTCAAATTTGTGTCTGGTTTGTTTAAACATTCCTGTCAGTTTTGTATTTGAAATGCAAAAACTGGCACTTAAGAAAAAATTAAATAAAGCCTGAAAACCAAAACAGAAACTGATCCAGTTTTCTCAAGGTAACATTGAGAGACTGCCTCATGAACATACTGAACCATTCTAGATGGTCTGGATGCAAATAGTTAATGGCTTATTTCAAGCTTAAGTGTAAAAAATCACTTTAAACAACCAGATAAAGGTTGCATTTTGTAAATACAAACCACGCCTCTTTATTAGACAAATATAATACTCATAGATATTTTGTTTTGTTTACCTACTGGTTCCCAGATATGATCTCTATGTTTCATCTCAGAAAAAAAACTTGAGATTTTTACCAGTATAAATACACTGGATAGCGGCCAAATTAAAATAAGAGGGAAATCAAAAGTGAAGGGAGGGCTAGTACAGAATTTTAGTATTATTTTAAACTCTTAGAAGTTCAAGACATATAAATGATGAAAACATGCCACGCAGGCTATGTTTTAACTTTTGAAAAATATAGTAGTGCATATATGAACTGTCCATTCTAGGATATATTTTTTTTTTACAAAATTTCCTAGCAAAAGTGGGACAGTTTTGGTAAAAGGATTTCCTATGGAAAATAACATTGTTTATAATTTTACAGAAGTGCAACCTATGTTTGGAGGTAAAAGGACATGTAGAATTTCACCAAATCTTCAGAGATTTTAATTAAATTAACTCATTTTGTTTGATAAAAAATCCATGAAGATTTAGAAAATCCTTGGATTATATATGATGACTTAGCATATTTATTCACAGTTTATAGTGTGCATAGTTTACCTAAAGTCCTGTATGCCAAGTAAATTCATAAGACATGCATACAGTTGGGTGCAGACCAAGCATACCATAAAGTAAACACAGTTTAATGCCGTATGCACATATTTCATTTGGTAACTCCAATTTTCGCATTTACAACAATTATGTTAAGGCGGTCAAAATGGAAATTCTTAAGTCTACTCCAGTAAACGTGTGTATGTCCGTTTAGTCAGTACTAAATGCGCATTTATTCCAGATAATACATTTTTACCTGTATGTGCACATAGAAAACATGCTTTTACTATTCCTGCTAACTATTTGTAAAAATTTTAAATATTAGTTGATCGACATTTGTATATTCAATATATAATGTCAATTTTAATAAACCTGTTCATCCCTGAAGACATAAGGAATTGTTTTTTTTATTAAAAAAATGTGTCAATATAATTCCTTCTCTTTTAGGTCAAACAATCAATCAAACTGTATATTGCTCAGGTCAGGTTTCAGCAAGTTTTACAAATATTTTTTCGTTTTTCTTTTCTTATATTTAAATATGAAATGATGAAATCTTATAACATTTCAAATTTGAGAAAAGTCCTATGATAAATAAAAAATTGATAAGCATTTTCATTTTGGTCCTGTCATTGGTCCAGTCATTAGTGTAACCCACCATGCAGTAGTAACGTGTGTTAACTTTTTACAAAAAAGACGTGCCTTCTTCATGTTAAAGCATAAGTAAATGCGTTTTTACTATGAAAAAAATTAGAAGACATGCCTTTTTTGTGTTAATGCGGAGGTATACGTGAAAGTAAACGCCTATTTACTGTTTATGTCTACTAAAATTTTGGAGTAAATGTAGAGTTAAAGCGTCGTTTACAAGAAGTGCATATGAGTAAACACAGCGTTAACTATTATGCACGTGGAAATGTAATGGTTGGTCTGCACCCAACTGTATATGTTATTTAAATTGTTAAAAAGTTCTTATGTTTACTCTTCACAGTCATTGAAACTCATAGATACTTCATGAAAATGAAAATTGTTGTTGGGGTTTTGTTCTGTCGAAAAAACAACAAATAAGTAGTATCACCTGAATTTGCTTTCTTCAGACTGCTCCATGAAATAAAACAAGCTAGAAACACGAAAGTACCTATAGAAAGCTAACAATAGTATGTTCTATTCTAAAAATATACTATATACTCCATATTCACAGAAACAGCAGAATTATTTGGCAAATTTGAGGCCCCAGTGGCAAAAAAACCGAGAAAAATTCCTAACCCCTGGGTCATAAAACAGATATTAACCTGTAAAGGCTATTGTTTTGTTATTATAAAGGTCTTTTGTATAGAAAACAACACTTTTACTTTGAAGTTATGCAAAAAACAGATTTAAGCAATCACTTTTATAAATCTTTTAACGAATTTGTATATGAAACTGGTAACTTCATACATACAGTTTTGCAAATATGGCCTTGTCTAAACACTTCTTGTTCATATATTAGCCAAATTATTTTGGGCATATGGTTAGAAATAATATTATTGTGACAAGATTTCTGAACTGTTAATTTCTTTTTATAGATAAATAGGCATACAGTAAGATGTGGACTGGAGACAGAGGTGGGATTGGATACTTTATATCATATTAAATGTTGGAATGATTAACATTTATAGTATTCTGACATGCTTTCAATTTGTTATCAGAAAAGTTTCATAGAGGTTGCAAGCATTCATGTCTGAAAAAATTCGTAAGGGTTCCGCGGAACCCAGTGTCTCGCCTACTTTTTTCTGTTAATCGCAGGCTCAACAAAAATGAGGAAGTAAATCAATAAAAATATTCCTCTTGATACTGTCTTTTGATTGTAAGAAGCTTCTGTCCAAGTTTGGTAAAAATCAGGATGGTTTATGAATCTAATAAATGTTTAAAAACTTTAACTGCAGACTGAATGTAATGTTAACTGGAAGAAAACAAAATTTCCTTCTGGATACTACCATTTGATCATAAACAAGCTTCTGTCCAAGTTTGGTACAAATCCAAAATAGTATAAGAAAGTTATTAAAATTTTAAAAACTTTAACCACAGAGTGAATGTGTTGTTTCCTGGCAGAAAATCTAAGTCCATTTAAAAGTAAAATACGGAAAAAATGGATTTATTTTTTTACAAAATGTCCTTCTAGATACTAGCTTTTGATCATAAACAAGCTTCTGTCCAAGTTTGGTACAAATCCAGGATAGTTTAAGAAAGTTATTAAAATTTTAAAAACTTTAACCACAGAGTGAATGTGTTGTTTCCTGACAGAAAATGTAAGTCCATTTAAAAGTAAAATAAGGAAAAAATGGATTTATTTTTTTACAAAATTTACTTCTGGATACTATCTTATGATCATAAACAAGCTTCTGTCTAAGTTTGGTACAAACCCAGGATAGTTTAAGAAAGTTATTAAAATTTTAAAAACTTTAACCACAGAGTGAATGTAATATTTCCCGGCAGAAAAACTAAGTCCATTTATAAGTAAAATACGGAAAAAATGGAATTTTATTTTACAAAATTTACTTCTGGATACTATCTTATGATCATAAACAAGCTTCTATCCAAGTTTGGTAGAAATCCAGGATAGTTTAAGAAAGTTATTAAAATTTCTAAAACTTTTACCACAGAGTGAATATTTGTGGACGCCGCCGACGACAACGACGACGACGACGCCGCCGACGGAATGTAGGATCGCTATGTCTCGCTTTTTCGACTAAAGTCGAAGGCTCGACAAAAAAGCACATAGGGTAGCTGACAGTAATTATAATAATGTTTCGAATTCTTTAAAAATTGAAACAGATTTGGGGTATATAATGTACTGTGAAAGACAATATAGAGTATAAGCATTGATTTTTTAGACTATGATTGTAATAAATAAGTATGATTGTAATAAATAAGTTTTGTTGTGAGAAAGAGTGATTTTGAAGATTTTTCTATTTGAATAAGTGTTAGTATAATTTGCACTTTGTAAACACAGCTGTTTCACAAACCACGCCTCTTTTGGGAGGTATATATTATTCAAAGATATTTTTTTCACCTACTGGTTCCCAAATATGATCTCTATGTTCATCTCATATCATCTCATAAAGACACAATTTGAGAATTTTACCAGTATAAATACACATGGATAGTGGATAAATTATCAATTATCAAAGCATACCAACGCCTTAGCTAAGTCTCTCAAATCTTTCATAAGCTGGGCCACCAATATTGGATCAATATTCTTGAAGTCCATTAACGTTTCAATGTCACCAACTGTCATATTGGCTAACTTCTCTCCTAAAAGTTTAGCTCCAACCTCTGACAATCCTTGACCAATAGCATAGGCTTCCTTTATACCAGTAACAGCTACTTTAAGTTCTTTAAAGATTTCTTCAGCTATAAAAACAAGTCAGATTATGTAGAATATATAGAAATATTATTTCATGGAAAGCACTATTAAAGCTACTGAACAACAATGATTGGTTTTTAGTTTGTGTGTTTGATGGTGTTTAAATCAACTTTCAGAGCCCTTGGTTATACCATGGCGATAAATCCTTACAAGTGGAGGCACTAAAGAGTGCCCGAATAGACCAAAAAACGCCAAAAAAAATGTCAATCCTTGTCAATTACATTCTTAGTTATTTCAATATTAGTTTGTAGATATTTTGTGTTTCCAATCTTGTTTTCCATTTTGGAATATAAAGGGCTCCATTAATTTCCAAATTAATAATTCATTTTATAAACTACACCAAAGTGGTCGGATTTCTACTACCAAAAGCTTTAAATCTACCTCCCTTAATTGTAATATTTTTTTTATAATTTCTTTCCCTGTACTGTAAAGATTCCACTTAATGTTTTTTTTTTTCGTTTACACCAACAGTCTTGGGATTTCAACTACCAATAGCTTTAACATGTATCTTCCTGTAATCCTAGCCTATAGTTCCACTAAATGTTTCTCCACTCACACCAACAGAGGTGGGACTTCAACTACTAATAGCTTTAATATTTACCTCCCTTTACTGTTAAGGTTCAACTGAATGTTTCTCCACTATAAACACCAACAGTGGTGGTATTTCCACTACAAAGAGTTTTTATATTTACCTCCCTGCACTGTAAATGTTCCACTGAATGTTTCTCCACTAACACCAACAGTTGTAGGATTTCTACTACCGAGAGCTTTAAGAGCAGATTTCCCACCAGTTTTTTCATCATCATCACCGATATCTGTTATGGAATAATCCTTGCTATTTTTCTAAAATAACATTAAAGTCATATGAATCTTAATCTTAAAACTAAAAAAAATCTAGAGGTTCTAAAGAGCCTGTGCTGCTCACCTTGGTCTATATGCAAATTTAACAAAGGACACTCTCCAATATTGTTGACAAGAATATAATTCATGACAAAAATATCTTTTAGCTGATCTTTGTTTAGTTTCTCCCTTCGTTAGTTTTTGCTCAAAACTCAACAGAGGGTTAAAAAAAATCCGGGTTAATCACTCCTATAAAGAGTTTGACTTGTTAATAGATCTTGTCTAGTTAATCATTTTTTCTAATTAAGATTCTATTCATCTATTATAGTTTTTATCATATAGACAAAACGCCAAAAAACCGGTAAAAATTGTCATTAAAGGACAATAACTCCAATGAGGAGTCGTTGGACGATTTCCACCGTATTGTTTTCATTGTAGATCTTGTCTGGCTGATCATTTTTGCTTTTTGACATTCTGTCTATTTATAATAATTTTTAAGATATAAGGCAAAAACCCAAAAAATTTCTAAAAATCATTATTAGAGGGCAATTATTCTAAAAAAAAAAGTCGACTGACGATTTCAACAATTGACTTATTTGTAGAACTCGTCTTGCTGTTCATTATTGCATTTTACAGTTTCTCTCTATCTATTACAAATGGTTAAATTGTCTTTCAAGGACAATAACTCCGCTCAGAAGCGGTCTGACAGTTTTGACATATATAGACAATTGGTAGACGTCAACAGTTTGAACATTTCCACCTTCTCAGACTTTCTCTATTTACAACGGTTTTAAAAAAAATAGACAAAAGACATTTTACACCTATATTCTATCTTTAATCATAACGGGCATCTTGGTTGGAAGGCATCTGACACATTTTTTAAACTAAATACCCCAATGATGATTGTGGCCAAGTTTAAATGAATTTGGTCCAGTAGTTTCAGAGGAGAAGATTGTTTGTAAAAGTTAACAGACGACGAGGGACTCCAAGTTATAAGAAAAGACTTCTTTGTCCTTTTAGTCCAGCCGATTCGTGAAACAATTGTTCAGATTGTGGTAAAAGCATCAAACTTTGCTGAGTTTTAGCTTAGGTCATAGCAAACATTTATAGCTATTGACCCAGTTCGGAAAATTAAAATTAATAAAAAAAATATTTCAAAAATATATGACTGTACCAATTTTGATAACCTTTGGTATATCAACCATTTATGACAAAGACGTTCATTTGATGACTTCATATATTGAAGTATTATGCCATCTTGAATGGTGGTCATTTTGAACACATGAATTTCCAATATATCATTATTCGCTATTCATATTAAAATGCTATTTGCATTTATATTAATGTTTTAATGCATTAACAATTACCTTTGCAAATCAGTTTTATGACTGTTGTTATTTATGTTAGATATTCAACAAGATGTAAAAAAAAGCATGCATAAGTTGTCAAAATAAATTTATGTAATACATAATTTCTTTAACTGACAGATTTGCGTAACAAACTTTTCACTTCAGAAAATTACGTATAAACAATATAATTTATGACCACTCTATGTCGAAAAGGGAAAAATTGTAAGTATTGAAATCACTAGAGCTAAAACAAATCCAATAAACAAATAGACTGGAAAGAATCTTGAAACGCCTAGAGAGGACACCTGAGGATTTACAATGCCAAGCAGATACAAAAAGAGCAGACATAGACATTTGAGCTGGTCCTTTGTTGCTAATACCTGATGCATGTCCATTGTATTATCAAAACAGCCCATATTTATGTAAAAAAGCATGTTACTTTCCAATAAATAAGTAAAAGAGGGACAGTTAAACTCATAGATCGAAAACAAACTGACAACGCCATGGCCAAAAATAAAAAGACAAACAGACAAATAATAGTACAGATGACACAACATAGAAAACTAAAGACTAAGCAACACGAACCCTACCAAAAACTGGAGGTGATTTTAGGTGCTCCGGAAGGGTAAGCAGATCCTGCTCCACATGTGGCACCCGTCGTATTGCTTATGTTATTACAAATCCGGTTACTATTAAGTTATCAATTTAACAACTTTGTAAAAACGCTTATTTTTGGGCCAAAAAGGAGTCTTATCGGGTCTACTCCTTTATATACTGACTTCTTTCCAGTACATTTTCTCTTAAATAACAAAGGACAAGTAAATGCCAAATTGGAAGTTTATATTTGAAAAGTTATCGAGGTAACAATCTACCTCCTGGAATTGAAGCTCCTTTCAACAAATACTGACAGTTTCACTTTATACGTGGAGGTGTCTTTGTAGTAATACTTATATATATATATATATATATATATATAGCTACATAAAAAGGTATATGTTGAAAGCTGAAAGAAGTCTAAAACAAGAGGACGTACATTCCGTAGCATGTATTTCTTAAATATTGATGATGAGAAAAAAAATCTATAAGGTAGGGTCTGTTAAGAATGTATCTGATGAGGTTTTGGAATTTGTATCAGATGTTCGGACTTCTTGGTGTTTTTCCCTACGATACAATGTAAAGTATTTTGCCCCATAACACCCATTTATCTTCTCATATAAGACTTAATAGCTCATAAAAGATCATTTACCAAAATTAAAGCAGATCCTTAATTTTCTTTCTTTTGATTTGAAATAATACCAATGCAAATATAAGGTAAAAGTCCGAGTATGGCTTTTCCCGCCCTATTTTTAAAATCAAAAATCTCAAAAAGGACCTCCATGACCTATCAATAATTTTAGCATATTTTGATCCATAACTAATGCTCATTCAGCTTAAAGTATCAATTCTTGGTTTATTTAATTTCACCTAAGTACATCCTTATATGGGAAAACAGCATTATACTTACGCTGTACTCAATACAAGCAGCAATATAAGCGTTCTTCTCTGCTTCAGTTGCATTTCTATTTGTCAATGTTCTAAGACCTGTTTTCATGTCTTTGGTGTCGACTCTAAGAAAGTCAACAAGCAGCATTAGAAATAACATAAAAACATATCAAAATATATATTTTTGAATTTCTTTAAGTCTTACACAGAAGTACATTATGTGTAAATATACAATACAGGACTTGTATATTGCACATTCCTGGTAAATCCAGGGGGGATAAGAGGATATATGCCCTCCCTTTAATGGAAAAAAAATCATCTGAAAAATATTAACCAATATGGGCATGTATGCCCCTTTCCTTAAAATCTGGACTGCCCCTGCATACAAAAATCAAACATTAATATTCATTTGTTTTGCAGTGTTAGAAAAAGGAAAAATTTCTATTTTTCCTATATGTATGTACTTATATGATAGCCCTTGTAACACTAAGTATATTATAGTCAAAAAATTAGATTATCTTGGATTAGCTACAGACAGGGTGATACCTATATACCCCTCCCCAAACAAAACCTTTGTTCAATTCAGCGTCATAAAAATACAAACTCTGATATTGCACTCCTACGTCTCCTACGTCCTGGACATGTCTTTTTCTTCAGGTCAGATGCTGTCAGTAACTGATAATCTTCACATATTCCTGGAGAAATGTAACATGCAGTCAACCCTATAGTAGTCTTGTAAGCTGTAGCTGATGTTGTAGTGTCCAGGGTAAAGTTTAACATGAATGAGCTAGACAATGATTCAACCTGCTTAATTCCTGTAAAAATTAAATTTAAAAAACTCGTTTAATTTGACAACATTCCTGTTTACATTTAATTGTCACCATGGTTTTCAGTTTTATTGATCATTTCTTTATATGTTTTTTTTCATGGGAGCGGTTCTTTAAATAACCTTGAAAAACCAATTGAAGGAAAAACCAAAAACCTTACTTTTTCCTTAATATAGGACACAAAAAATAAAAGAAATTCCACAAGGCATCATTATCTTTTGAACCCCTTTAATATTCAAAATGGTCTCATTACAAAGGTAATACCATTAATTGAAGCCAGTCCAGTTCTTGTCCATGTGTGTCTCTCTAGAGTGTAGTCAATTTGATCACATGAATTCAAAGCAAATGTCAGCTCAGTATTACGTTTACCAGGTAGGAAGGTCAAATCTAAACAACATTTGACACTGAAACAGTCAGCAGCCATCTGACATCTCGTCTGAGCATAGGTGGTAAAGTTTACACCAGGACACTCTATAAAAGTACAATAAACAAAAATGTCTAATTGATTTTCATTTGGTTAACATCCTGTTGAAAATATTGTACGATTTCTGTATGCTTAGCATCTTATGGCAAATATTTCTGCATATTCAATTAAACAAATAAATGATATCCAATATGTAGGTTTTGCAATGCAGATTAACCGAGATGCAATTAGAAAATTTGGAATGCCACTGAGGGTATATTGGTTAGAGGAACTATTTTGTATAAATACAGCCTTCACGCTTAACTTTTGAGTCCACAAGCCAGAAGCTCATTTTTTTGAAAATTTTAGTTGGATTCTGTTGGCTTGTAGAGAAGAATTTTACAAGCCCGAAAGCAATTTAACAAACCAATGCCGTAGGACTTGTGGTTAAGCGTGAAGACTGTAAATAGATCATGACAAAATACTTTGTTTTTATGAATAGCTTGTATTATTTGATGATGTTAACTACTTAATGGTTTTTTCAGTTTAATCCTTTTTTACTTTGAACAATACAGTTCATCACTGTCCATCAGTATGGTATATTCACAATTTACATGTCATTATAGCGTTGGCAAAACAATGATAGATAAATAAAAAAAAGTCAGAAATATCAGTCACATATTTGAGAGTTTCAAAATAACAGCAGTCATTAACAAAATATCAAATTATATTTTATAAAAAATAATAAAAAAAATTCATATAACTATACCTTGAGTGTATGTTTCTATAGAAAACTGGGAACAAGGTATTGGCTTCCAGTAGTCAAAGGTTATTCCTGTCAAAATGTATAAATAAAGTTATTGTTGTATAAACTTTCTATTTAGTTTCACATTTTTTCCATTAACATTGAAGGGTTATCATTCATTAGCAAAAAAATCAAACTTTTAAAAATTAAACCAGAAATAAGACAAGATAGTACAGCAATGTATATTACCATACTAAAGCAGTGATAAGGTATCAATTTGATGACAGAAAAATAGATACATTTGAAATTTCATTCCAAATCCATAAAACATCTTCTGAAAGTATTACTACCACAGGAAAGTTTGTGATAATGACACTTTTCTTGTTTTGTCAATACTAATTGCTCTTTTATGACCAAGAGAAAAGACAAAACATTTAGCCATTACTTTTATGTAATTCAAATGTAGTCGTCTCATATCTGAGCGGCGTCACTCAAATGTACATCTAATACATAATGCCTCTAAACATTCACATCAATCTCAGAAATCTGCCTATAAAAATATTTACTTATTACAATTAGAGAGAATCTAAATAGAACTGATTAATTATGAATACCTATAGAACAAAATACTTTGAAAATTTCCCAAAAATGAACTCAATTATGGTTAAACTATTTACCGGATTTGTAATAACATAAGCAACACGACTGGTGCCACATGTGGAGCAGGACCTGCTTACCCTTCCGGAGCACCTGAGATCACCCCCAGTTTTTGGTGGGGTTCGTGTTGCTTAGTCTTTGGTTTTCTATGTTGTGTCATCTGTACTATTATTTGTCTGTTTGTCTTTTTATTTTTGGCCATGGCGTTGTCAGTTTGTTTTCGATCTATGAGTTTGACTGTCCCTCTGGCATCTTTCGTCCCTCTTTGATGGAAGTTTTATTCGGAACAATTGAGCAGCCAGAAGGAAAAATTATCTTTAATTTTGATAAAGTAAATTTTGCATACATACCATAGAAAGGTAAATTAGGCTGTGTACACTCAGGATAATAAAGTTTATTACTGGTAAAAATGGTATGTTCTGATAAACATGACCCTGATGAAGAATCATAACACAGTTTGATAGTTAAATCAACATTAAAGTGTTGCATTGATGCCACATGGTTTACACGATACATGACTCTCAAAACTCCATAGAGCTTCATGTTTTCTGTTGTTCCTGTAAAAGAAAATGAAATGTTTTTGTTTCATTAAAAGTTATGTCAGAGAGTATATTACTCAGGTTAAAACAATATAAAAAACTATCTCAGTAGTTTAAGAAAATATTTTGGATTTATTTGGATTCAATAAACCACTCATAAAATGTGGAATTTTTACAATTACATGTCTGAAATAGTATCATTTAAACATATGACGTAGTAAATTATGTTTGCCTTACATCGGGAGACAAATTTAATGAATTTTCATGCAAAGAGCAAAATTATTAAAGAATAAACCAAAATATTACAATGTTTAAGTCCATAGTGAAGAAAATAAATACAAAGAAATCTCGTTTGAAGGTTTAAATGTAAAATTCTTCAGAATAAATCAGTTTAAATAGAGGAAAATTATTGCCTACAATACTTTTCAGAAATAATCTAGATTAGAATTAATAATAATTTATATTGAAACATTATCAATTCTGAATATTTTTACTCATAAGAATTTTTGCTGGTGCTCAGTGGCATACCCCAAGCATAGTTCAGTAAATCCTTGTCAATAATCAGATTTTCCAACTGTATAATCAGTGTGTAGCTACAAGTGTGCATGGTCACGGCAACAAAAAAGTCTCGTTTGAGTACACCAGACTTGGCACAACAGGAAACAGCATTACAATCAGATGCAATATGACATAGTAATTCCAAATCAGGTAGTATAGTTAAGTCCCCTGATGATACATTGTTACATTCTGTAATGAAAAATTTATATTGTGTTATGTATTACAAAAAAAATGTAATTGTTATCATACAGATGGGTGCAGACCAAGCATTACATAAAGTAAACGCAAGTTAACGCCGCGTGCACATATTTGGTTAGTTAACTTCAATTTTCGCGTTTACTAGTAAACGCACTTTTACTATAATTACGTTAAAGCGGTCAAAATGGAAATTTCTAATGTCTACCCGAGTAAACGGGCGTTTACTCTGTGTCCGTTTAGTCAGTAGTAAACGGGCGTTTACTTCAGATTTCACAAATTTATTTTTATGTGCACTTAAAAGTAAACAGGCGTTTACTACAGATTTCATTAATGTATTTTTACGTGCACTTGGAAGTAAACGCGCGTTTACTTTTTGCGTTAACTGATCGTGTAAATTAAGAAATAAACTTCGTGTTCATTTGAACATTTATTTTATTTAAACGACTGTTATCTTAATACTTTACGTATATGTGTTTCAAACCAGAACAATTCAAAAACACTTAATTTTAAATCGAAATATTAATTTTATTAAATTTAAAAAAAAAAGTTCCTATAACTTTACTGATAAGCAGATTTTCTATATTTTCTTTTCAAAAGTTACATGTACAAATATCGAGGCCGACAGACAGGTTATCCAACACATCGGAAAAATATTTGTATATGATGGGATATAAACATCATTGTTTACGTTGCTTCGTTCCCCATTTTTAACTGTTTCTTCGAATTCCTAGCTCGATGCATTTAAAACATTATTTTTAATCATAATTCACATGGATTTACATGATTTCAGCTTCTGTTTTGTCAAATTTTCAAACGGAAACTGTACAGTGTATTGCAAGGGATATTAATAAAGTGTTGTATAAGTATGTACATTTATACCATCTCTTCAATTTAAACAGACTTATCCATAACGATTATAAATGCTATTTGTGACGTCCGAAAAATATACTCGATTTGAACATGAATGAAATATTGCCACTGGACGTTTTGCTACAAACAAAATCAATCAACTTACATAATATATTAACAAAGGGGGGATAGGACCTTTATCGGGACTCCGGGATCGGGTGTTTTTAAGCTCATGATTTAGGGATTGACCGTTTCGAGATCCGGGAATTCTTTTTTCGAATTTCGGGATTTAAATTTATTTAAATTCGGGACCTCGGGATTTCGTGTTTTTAAGCCCTGGATTTCGGGACCAGAACCCTTCCTACCCAACCTCTCTTAACAGTATCAGAGACATATATACACAGAGATTGGCAACTGTAACAGTGGTCAGCGAAATCCAATTAAAAACACGCATCACACGAGACTTTAACGAGATCGCCATTTTGCATCTGATCATGACAAGTTCACCACCGCTTCGATTTTTATTTTACATCAAGCTTTTCAAAACAGCATAATGTAAGTATATATTTCAATTTCGTAAATTATTTACCTTGTTTTATTCAGTTTGTAGTAATTGTTTGTTAAAATATTGTGACGATTAACGTTTTATTGTGGTCAATAATAAGGGGAAAGCTTGGCCGACATGGACGTTATGAAAATTTTTTCCACGGACGTATTTTTTATTAAAACCTTTTCATTCGAAAAGGAATAAAACCATTTATGAGATGAATCACTTTTCCCAAGACATACTGGTTTTGTGTAAATATGTTGAATTTTTCATTAAATCACCCACGTTGATGCAATTTACAATTAAAATTCAGTATTCTCGCGGTCGGCCACGTTCAATTTTTAAAATATAAAGACAGGCCCCTGTCCATGTCTACAGTCAATAAACTTTTCCATCTTTAGAGAATAATTATTCCCAGCACATGAATTACTTTCTTATGACATACTGGATTTGTGTATAACAGTTGTTTTTTCCATATTTTCACCAGCTTTGATGCAATTTACAATTTAAAATGACCATTCAAGCTGTCGGCCATTTTCATTCTCTTCAATATAAAGACAGGCCCCTGTCCATGTCTACAGTCAATAAACTTTTCCATCTTTAGAGAATAATTATTCCCAGCACATGAATTACTTTCTTATGACATACTGGATTTGTGTTTAACAGTTGTTTTTTCCATATTTTCACCAGCTTTGATGCAATTTACAATTAAAAATGACCATTCAAGCAGTCGGCCATTTTCATTCTCTTCAATATAAAGACAGGCACCTGTCCGTGGCTACAGTTTATAAAATTGTCCATCTTTAAAGAACAAATGTACCCATCACCATTGATCACAGGAATTACTTTCCCAAGACATACCGGTTGTGTGTATATAAATTGGTTTTTTTTTTTCATTATTTCCACCACTTTGATGACATTTACAAGTTTATATACATGTATATTTACATTCAGTATCTGACAGCATTTTTTTTTAACAGGATCCTGCATGTTATAAAAGAACAAAGATGTTGATCAAATTTACCTAACAGTGCAGCATACAAGAGATGTAATATCATACATGTGCTGAATGTAGGACTCCCTAGCCTTTCTGATTGAAAAAAAGATTCCCTGGCAGACAGGAACAACTATTAGTGATGACTTTTTTCAAATGTTACTGCACAGTCATGTAGTGGACCGATTACATGTACTACTATCAATGTGATACTAAAAAATGGTTTTGTAAGAGAGAAAATGACATGTGCTTATCCTGACTGTGAAAACACTACATTATTGTAGTTCAAATATCATAGTTCATATGCCAAACTTGATGTACATGTGTATGCGATTTTTGTGCAAGTGATGGTGACATCATTGAACTAAGAATAAATACAAGACTCCGCATTCAATCTATTGAATTTGAAACAGAAGTGGCAGTTGTGCAGAGACTATACGGATAAAAATGCAATTAAATATCTTGTGTTCAACTTCATTTGTCTTCCTTACGTTTACAAAGTATACATGTACATAATTTTTACATACATGTATAACAATATGATGATGTAGTATGATTGCCAATGAGACAATGATTTACATGTATGACTATCATTGGAAGGCCACTCTATAATATCTTTGTATATCATAAGAATGGAAATGCTACCTTTGTAGCATAAAGGTAGCATAATGTAAAAAAAGGGAAAATGTTCATTTATTCAACAACACTCCTGTGAATATATAACTTGACAGTACTAAAGGCAAAATATTTCGTTTCACAAATTCCTTCCTCTCCTCGGAAAATAACATATTTAATTGTTTACATGAAATGACAAAATGTGTAGAATAAGAAGCAAGAAATGTTTACTCTACTTGTACACTACTAGTCGCTCATATTAGTCATCATCTATGTTTGTTTCAGTCCGTTAGCAATGGTGCTTGTTTATATTTATCTGTTGTGTTGTGTTGTTTCAGTTTTACATGTCCTCATTCTGTGATCACTGTTTCACCTCGCCTATTTTGAAAAATGTTAATGCAAATATTTTCTGCAATAAATTGAAAAGGCACAGCTGCTATGACTATTCAGAAATGTGAGGTATATGTCAATGAGACAACAACCCAACGACAAAAATATTCTTTGCACATCTATGAATGTTTAAGAATTCTTGTGGAGGTCAAAAGCACATAACGTGTACTTATATATTGGTGACCTGGTACATGTATGTACCTATTGATGCATTCCGTCCTAAACATAAATTGTGTGAAGAGACCAAGCAGTTTATATGCTTATAAAAAAACTGATATTAAAATGAATTCCTGTATAACAAATTCCGGGAATGAGACACTATTTTATTTAAACCAGATGAGATATTAGTGGTAAAGATTTAAACAGAAGCAGGAGATGTCAAGGGGCAATACAAAAAGTACAAGGTCATGTAACACAGATAAAAAAATGACAAATGAAAAGAAAATAACAGCCCACATAGCACTGCACCAAAACATAAACCCACAAAAGATCAGATAAAACTTGTCTTCAATTTTAAATCTTTCTAATTTCAAACTCGAGTTTCACTACCCGATAGGAAAGAGTAAAGATAAGGATGTTGCAGTACTTCTGTGGTCTATGAAACAGAACATTAAAATTCTACAGTTCAGCAGAGCATTTTACTGTACTTATGATACACGTTGTTTTTAATCAGGGTCTGTGATATTAAGTCTATAAAAAACTACAAATAATGACAGATTCATATTCAATATTTCATGACAGCAAAAATAGTGATTTCGACAACACTGTACATAATGTACGTTCATTTAGGAAATTCATGCAAAGGTTCCACAAATAATGTAATTGTAGGTCAATCAAAAATTAATCATTTAAATCCGTTTTCCACGAGACAAAATTCTACTGGCTACATATTTTTTTTATATAAAAAAGTTGCTTTCTGATTTCTTTTTTTGACATGTTAAATGACTATTTTTGTTCCTGATTGAATACTATAGTAGAATGTAGGACAGTAAGTCACAGGACAAAAAGTCACGGACGAAAAGTCACAATTCAGTTTTGAGATTATTTTTCTCTGAACAAGAAAACACTAATTTTAAAAATAATTTTTTGATTTTTTATTGAACTATAATATATGAAGCAACTTTGTAATTAAAATTTATTCAATAAATATCAATGATGATCAAATAATTGTTATGATAACAAAATGTCAAAGTGGTTTGGCACTTAAATGGCTTCATGGTGCCAAGAAATATATTATTTGCATGATTAAAATTTAATAATTTTTCATTTATCAAGGCTTATTAACAATTTCCTGAACTTAAAAATGAATAAATGTAAAAAAAGATATTATTTGAAGATCTTTCTCTTATATATTCAAACAATTGTCAATAAATTATTTGTGACTTTTTTGTCCTATCCAATTTGTGACTTTATGTCCTGTGACTTTTTGTACTGTGACTTTCTGTCCGTTTACCCTATTCATAGTATAGCCCAGTGTTTCTGTTAAAATAAAGTTCTGGTCATGGTTAAAATAATGTCAGAATTTGTTTAGTTGTAAAAACAATTACCAAGTAATAATCCACTTAGAACTTCACCTCCGGCAAAATTCAGGTGATC